ATTGGGTGCACTGTAGTTTCACGTTTGCTGATGAAAATAAAGAGCAGGAAAAAGATTGATTGTAATGGCTGCTTGCCTACGTTCCTTTCTCTTCTTTTCGCACCCAACTGGCTGAAGATAGCAACACAATTGTTGGTCTATACAATGTAATGTAACCCTCCAAGAAGTGCGGAAAAAAAAACCGGAACAACAAAGAACACACTACCAACATCACTTCTTACATCACAAAAAAGAGGCCTAGAGGCCTTAACGCGGATGGTTTTTGCAGTCATCATCGCTGGTTTCTGTGCGAAGCGTGAAGAGTGAGGCCTGATAACGAAATTAAGTGAAAATGGTGAATGAGAAAACCTTAGTTGTTGTTATTATTCTATTACTCTATTATTCTGAACAGTTTATTGCGAATGTTAGACCTTTTTTTCTACGAGCCGTACAGTTCTCAGTGAGTTCTCATTCGGCTTGCTATGTATGGCTTTGCTCGTTCTTAAAAATGAACGCTAGTTTCTTAAGACGCTGCTGTCTGATCTGGAAGCGTAAACAACATACATTTGAGACATTTGGTCCAATCAAGGAAGTTGCAGGGTAAACAATAAGTCCTTCCTCAAGCGTTCGAAACTGTCGAAACGCTTGTTCAGGTTTAAATATTTCAAATCGAATGCGAAAATAAATTAAGGTCATTCCTCACATTTGCATTGCGCATCCTTACTGCGCATAATTTATGGCGTCATAAGCGCGCGCTCGTGCACGCGTATATTGAAAACATGACGGATTTGCCTTGATATTGAGCTCATTGTAATCAGCTAATCATAAGCTTCGCGTAAGAAAAGACTGATCTAATTTCTATTGCTGAAAATTGAAGAAATAAGAAAAATAGCAGATACACTGTGATCTTTTCTATTTTACAGTCGGTAACCACGTCGAGAAATTTGGTTCAAATTTTAATCAAGGATTTAGCTTTCTATCTGAATCAAACTTAAAATGTTTATTTGTGTCCGACACAATGTATTGACTGTAGTTTAATGCGTTTTCTT